ACATTTTTAAGGATTCTGACTTTTTATCTGAATATTTACGTTTTTTCAGAAATGTGACTTTTTTTCAGAAATGTTGACTTTTAGTAGAAGCTGCAAATTTGGTTGTGGTCGTATGATACAATTAATGGGTTGTGTGATTTTAGGAAACAAGCTTTATTTGTGGCTCATACTGTACATCTGGGATAGAACCAAATGTTCCTTATTTACAGTGTAATGTATTCTGTCATGAATTTCATTAGATATTGTTTCACCGCTGCAGAAGCTTATCTGGTGTCTTATTTGGAGCCTATAGTGGCTTGTACGTATACGACAAATGAAATATAAAAGTGTCTATTAGAAGATGAAGAGATTATCAGCAGTGGAGGCTGACATTTCCCTGATTGATGGACATTAATTAGTGGAAGAAGTATTGGTCGTCTCTCAGATAACAGCCTCAATCTGTCAATTGAAGAGAAACAATCAATCGTGTTGATGACTGCGGTTCAGTCTGCTTCATCTGCACATGATTAGTAAAGGGTTCATGTTGAGTTACTTTTCCTTTTCAAAAGCTGTCATCTGTTGCTTTCTCTCACTTTCATGCTGCTTTGATTCAATACGGTTGCATTTGAAAGCGTTTTGAAGCAAGACCCTGAACCTTGGCCCAGACTTAAATAGAGAAACATAGACACATCCACATCCAGGGAAAAAATCATTCATGCATGCACTTCTGCGTCGGTGTATTTAATGCCCTTTCCTGAAGGTTACATTTGAAATAACTTAATTGTATATCAGGATTTAACTAGATTTACTAGGTGTGATAACCTGGAAATATCTATATCTGTTTCACCAACAGTCAGAAGTGATACAATACAAAGATAAACATAGAAGAAAAAGACAATTACACACACAACAACAAGCAGCAATTGCAACAGAGGTCAGCTAATCTATCTGTCACTGGGAGACACACACACATACACACACACACACACACACACACACACACACACACACACACACACACACACACACACATATATATATCCAGCCAAGCTTCATCACCATGTGTGGATCCACAGGGATGGGAAGTATGGCGACACGATACAGACTCCCTGCCACACACACCTGCCTCCAACACACACACACACACACACACACACACACACACACACACACACACACACACACACACACACACACACACACACACACACACACACACACACACACACACGCGTGTACACACACAGTGGGGAGGATACCTTCATATGAAATGCCACATTGGTTTGCTTCTTCATGTGATTATTATGGTGTGAGGTTTATTTGACAAGAAGATGCTAATGAGACGGATTAATCAATTCAAGGACATTTTAACGAGCTGTACAGACTTTTAATGTCAATGTCATTCTCTCATTATACACACACAGCAGAGAAATACAGCTTTAACCACACTATGCTGTAATATTATGTACAATATTATACCCCTTTATTTTATCAACAGACGCAGCCATTTTATAACATCATCTTTGATAGTTTAGTAAGATTAGCCAAAGAATTTGGTTGTTTTTAAATATACAAAATAACCTGAAAATCATTTGATTAAGAACTGTACGAAGTGCTGGTACTTTCACAGCACATGTTACATTTAAATCTAAAAGTAAAGATCTAATAGAATACAGGAAATGTGTGGACAGGGCGGTATAGACATGATTTTTATAAAAATATAATATTATAAAAACACAAAAAAATAGAAACAAAAAATGTTGATTAAGCTCTTAAAAATAAATATATAAAAACATATGTTAAGGAGTTATATATGTGGAATACATTTAAATTGAGCCCAGTTACGGTACGTCCACACGGCAGCGTCGCGTTGAAGCTTGCCGGTGGGCGTGTCTGGCGTGCGACCAACAACCAATCTCCCGCCCCAACCATGAATCTCCCGCCCCGGACACCAAGCACGCGGTTTGATTGGCTAAAGCTTGTACTGGCATATGATTTGATTGGCTGGCGCTTCCGTCGACGCTTGAAAAGTTGAACCTTTCTCAACTTTTGAAGCGAGCGACAGAGGAGGCATAGCCATGCGACGGAACCACAATGCAGTTCGGCAAAGCGTGACGTCACCCCATTCAAAGTGAATGGGAAGCGTCTCCGTTGAAGCACGCAACGCTGCCGTGTGGACGTACCGTTAATCAGAGGCGTCTTTCCTTCACCTCAAAATTGATACTGTAATCTGGTTTGAGATAACAACATTTGCAATAACATAATTGTATATTAGGATTTAACCAGGTTTGATAACTTCTTAATGTCTAGAATACCACCAACAGTTGATGATACAATACAAAGACGGGAAAAAAAGCACTTTTTCCCAAGTGTTCTTAATGAATTATGTTAGCCTCATTTTAAGGAGTTATATTCGTGGAATAAATGTAAATTGAGCCCAGGTTATCAAAGGAAACAACTAAAGTCTTTCTCTCACTTCAATTCTTTTTACCATAATCTGCTTTGAGTCAGAGATACAGCTAACAAAAACCTTTTTTTGAAAGTTTCCCGTCTGTTTCGGCTTCAGATGTGTGATCTCCAGCGGTATCTCTCAGCAAACCTAATGATTCAAAGGCTGTCACTTTCCACGGAGCACTTTTTAACATACGACTCTTGGTGGGCCCTTCAATCTAAAGTGGTTTCCAGGAGCCGCAGTGCATACATCTTCAGTGTGGAGGCCCCGGTGGAGCTGGAGCTCATATCCTGACAGAGCTGCAGTGATATATGTGAAACTCACAGAGGAGATACACACAGAATGAAATCCCTAACCTCGGCAGCTTTAGTGCTCGACTCCACTCATTGAGCTCCATGGGAAATTGAGTTTCTAACCCTGGCAGTGGCAGCACTTATAGCTCCACCCAAAGGGCTCAAACTGCAGACTTTCAGAGGAAAGATCACTCTGTGGAGGTCAGAGGGATCACAGGGATACAAATATACATGTGTTTGTGCTGTTAATAAGTATTATACGGAAAATAAAGATTTAGGATGGCCGCTCATTTAAAGGTGGGGTAGGTCATTTTGGAGAAACCAGCTCGAGTGCGCTAGAATTTGAAAATACACAGCCGAAAATACAGAGCCCCTCCTCCAACACACACGAACGCGCACATGACCAATGAGGGCACGAGATAAGTTTGTGCACAGATGGAAGGCTGACAGGCAGGTAGGCCATCCAGTTATTTTAGCCGGGCCGGCTCAGATGATTGGTCGTGCTTTTTACAGCGCCACGGCTTCCACAGATGATATTTTTTTATGGATTTTTTGTCAAAGCACTTCAGATATTCATTGCTATCGGGATGTTAAGAGCATTCCATGGAATATAACAAAAAGTGTATCTCGAGCCGGTTTCTCAAACTTACCTACCCCACCTTTAAGAGGTAAAGAAACTCAAATTTGCTTCAATTTGAGAGCACTTTAACATTTGGATCAAGTTTCGAGAAATAGCTTGTTTGATGTCCATGGATTATAATTGTTGTTTTTTAATTAGAGAAAAAACAACAAAAAGAATACAAACGAATATATCCAAATAATAATAATTTATAATAATAATAAATAATCACAATAATAATAATAATAATTAATATGTTAATAATAATAATAATAATAATAATAATAATAATAATAATAATAATAATAATAATAATAATAATAATAATAATAATAATAATAATAATAATAATAATAATAATAATAATACATTATAAAAGCAACCCACCTAAATAATATTAATAATAATAAGAATTTGTTTTTGCTCATTTATTAATCTTTTCAATACTTCTGTTTGCTATGATTTATTTTGTCAGTTTTGCTGAAAGAGAGGATTTTTTTGTCAGCATGCAGCTTCACTGAAAACAAACAAACCCTTTAATTACAGATATTTGGTTTCAGTTTGGATTACAGGCGCTGTGTCTAACTCTCAGTGACTGTTAGAGAATTGTCTGGAGGAAGTGCTGAGGTGTCTGACAGGGACTTTATCTCCTGAGTGGCCCTACATCTCAGAGTGGGTGATCCGGTCTTTCTGACGCGGAAAGCTCTATCCAATCTGCCCCCAATCTTATCGGGCAATGTTAGTCTGGATATAAGCGGATCATTTTTCTCTTTACCAATGACCCAGAGACCTCTCTCCGTTGCTGCCTTGAAAAACGTCCGTGACGCAGGACAGGAGCAGATGAACAAGATAAACACTCATATGAAAGCTTTCATAAAACTTCTACATTCAGGTTTCAGCAAATATTGGTCAACCACCGACAGTTTGACTTTAACCTTCTAAGAAAGTCCAGAAATGTTGTGAATTTATAGAAGAATATATTGGATTAGATGAGCAGCAACTGAAGGAACAGGATTACACAAGAAAGAAGACCTAATCTGATCCCTGATACATCAAATGCTTGGCTGGAAATCTGCTCCTAACATTTTTGTAATGTTGGCATTAGTGTCAATATGCAAGGCTTTTTTGGGACCAAAATGACCTCTGACCTCTTGTTTACCCGACATGTTTTACACACTGAAAGCTCTCACATAATGCTGTTCAGACAAACAGGACACACACAGAGGGAGTTTCTCTCAAACACACACACACACAGACATTGGAAAACTACTTCCAAATATCCAAACTGTCCATTGAAAGTGTTAGGGAATGCAATATTAATATCGAGGGACCTTAAAAATTCAGTAGAGCAATTGTCCGTCTCTGTGTGTATGGGAGTGTGTGTGTGCGTGCGTGCGTGCGTGCGTGCGTGTGTGCGTGCGTGTGTGCGTGCGCGTGCGTGTGTGTGTGTCATTTCTTGTGTCATCACTAGCATGTGCCTCCTGATGTGACACCGGGTAAAATACCGATGCAGCAGCTTACATGAAAGAACAAGAAGTCAGCGATGATCCTTCTATACGCTGTGACAAAATGCTAACGTACACATTTCTTGATAATAACTTTGTTTTCTCTCTCTCTCTCCCTCTCTCCTCCCTCCTGCTGCTGCCTGGCACAACAGATCACTTGGGCATCGAGTTTATGGGTAAGGAAGCTTCTCTTGTCTTGCATCTGCATGAGTCACGACTGTAAACATCACAGGGCTTCACACTGCATTAACTGTGTGATTTCTCGCATCCAGAACATGCATCGCAGCAAATGGCGCACGTGGACGTTACCTAATGACATCATTACATCATGTTAAATGTGGTCTGTTGAATACAAAGGGCGTCTGTATGAACGTGCATTCACATATTCTTGACCTGCGCCCTACTGATATATTAGCCACTGCCTTAATCTCTCCATACACATGTGTAATTATACCGTATATCATTCCTTTCTGCACCGTTATGCTTTCTTTCCCTCACAATTGCTTATGAAGTGTCCCTTCAGAATTGCAATGTGCTGCAGTATCCTTGGAAACAGAGAGCACAGGAAGGCAGGGGGGATACAGTGAGGGAGCTATTCTTTTTCTTTTTTTATGATCTTGGCTCTGTTACCAAACGCTCTCCTCATTAGTGCGTGTGTGCATGCATGGCACGCGTTCAAAAAGTGTGTTTCTGAAGTTTCCGCTTTTGTGAGTTAGCTGAGATTCTTGCAGTGATCGATCCTCCTCGTCCGAGGTGGGAAGTAGTGGAGTAATACTTTGTTGCTGTACTTAAATACATTTTTCTGGTATCAGTACTTTACTCCACTACTTATTTTTCTGACGACTTTTTACTTTCTACTTCTTACATTTTGAACACAAATACCTGTACTTTCTACTTCTTACATTTTGAACACAAATACCTGTACTTTCTACTTCTTACATTTTGAACACAAATACCTGTACTTTCTACTTCTTACATGTTGAACACAAATACCTGTACTTTCTACTTCTTACATTTTGAACACAAATACCTGTACTTTCTACTTCTTACATGTTGAACACAAATACCTGTACTTTCTACTTCTTACATTTTCCAAACAGGCTGGTTCCTTTAGTTTGAATGTGTGTTTGGTGGCGTGATCATTATTATTTAGAGTCATTGCGTGCCTATTGATTTGAACACGATCCGTGTATCCATCATTTCCTGGTCTTCTCTAAAGAAGAGGGACCAATGAAAACGTTGTCATGTTGCCGTTGTTCAGCATGGAAACATTCATTAGCTAACAATGACATTATTGTTCTATTAATATAAAGGGAGGTCAGGTACTCTTTAAAACAGCTGCTAGTTATGGGTACTTTTTACTGAAGTACATTTCAAAGCCTTCTTTACTTTTACTTGAGTAAAGAAGTTTAGTCAGTACTTCTACTTTTACGAGAGTATTTTTAAACACAAGTATCTGTACTTCTACTTGAGTAAAGGATGTGTGTACTGCAGCCATCTCTCCTCCTCGTCGCTGCCAAGCCTCCTCTCCTGTTCCTGGCTCAGATTTGGGAATCACAGCCGAGCGGCGCTAGTTAACGACACGGAGGCTCGTTGTTAACTAGAAAGTCTCTCTACTGCTATCTGGCCCTTTCAGTCTTTCTGCCAGAGTCCTCTTGTGAACCCAGAAATGTTGAGCACCGTAAAGTTGTTAGTTAGAAATGTAAAGAACGGGTCCCCAGCTCATAGAAAATGCCAGATGCTAACTTACATTCACTATGTTTGCAGAATAAGCATCATGTGTAAATTAGCATTGTAGTCCATGCAGACAACAGTTAATAAATGGCTTGGCCGAATTGGACAATTGTGCAGTGGTTTTAGGGCTTATTGAGGATGCTGAATGCATTTCTGACATTTTCAGGATCAAGAATGGCAGATTTAACCAGAAAGTGGCTACATTTGTACCAATGGTGGGCTGATTTTGACTACCATGAGTAGTGTTGTGACCATTGGATATAGAGAGCATAACAGATCTAAATGATTACCTCTACTGTGGACAATTTATTTTCCAATAAATAAGCTATCTTGCCAATGCAAATCCCTTCAAAATCAACCCAAAATCAACCCAAAATGAATAAAAATCAGTCCACCTTGTTCTCAGCTCACTGGGAACTAGATCATTTCCACAGTGACAGGTTGGAGAAAGCCATGGATCACCAATGGAAATGGCCTCCCTCTGGTTTGACAACACTGCCTCTACATAGCCCAAAATAAAACCCCTCAGCAGCGATGTGTTTCTTTTCTCTGCATTAGCAGTCAAAGGAACGACGGCAGCTTTTTTTTTCGGAAGGAAACTTGCTGAGACTATGCAAACTTGGCAGTGACAGATGATCGTTCTTTCTTGCCGGTTTTCCCATTTATATTCAGTGAGAGCTTTTATGCCTCTGCAACATTGTTCAGGCTGCCACATTTCCTTTGCCCGGCGAACATCATGCCAATGTCTGTAAGCATTACACAGAGAGATAAGCCCCGCCCACACTCGACCTGTCATGAAGCGTCTGTCGCTCTGGAGGCTGTTTGTCATGAGAAAAAAAAGGATAATGCTTACATACCATTCAACTGAATCAATATAAAATACAATCAAGTGAATGCATACTGCACAAAGCGGGTGACTTGGCAAAAACACGTATTTTTAGGATAAAGATAGTGAAGGTTTTACACGTCTTGCATCATCTCGTTTCATGTCATATCATTATTTGTGAGGACGCTTGTTTTACACATATTTTAAAGACAAAATGTCCACGATCTGACCTTTTTGGGCCGATGATTTAAGAGTTAGATTTGTCTCTGATAAGATAATACTCTCTAGCTGCAACTTGGAACGAATCCCCCTTCTGGTACATATCATTTATTTATCTAGACTTTCACTCACAACTCAGACCTGGTGTGTTCTTCTGATGGTGGATTATTTCAAGAGTTGGGACGTTTTCATGGGTTCATGAGCTTTAAGTCATAATGTTGGACGGTAAAAAGAGATTGTTAGAGCCAGTATTTTGTTTTTTAATAATAAAAGGCCACCTTATCGTGCCATCTGTAGTCAACACAGTATAAAGGACTACAATTCCAACAACAGCCTCCAAAGAGACGGAGATGGGGTAACCTGTCGAAAAGACGCCGTCGAGGCACAGTTTTTAACCGTTAAATTACTGTTAAGTTACCTTTAAAGTTAAATTATTTTATTTTGACTAAACACAAAACACAGTATCAACACAACACCAGAGTCCAAGCAAGTCATTTCAACTGTGAGTAAAACAAATCAGATGAAAGGATACGCGTTAGAAATGTCTGTAAAAGGCGTCTAAGTGGCTTGGATAGAAAACAAAGGAAGGAAACCACGACAGAGAGTTTTAAAGGTCTCCTATCATGCAAAATGCACTTTTTTATGTCTTTTCTACTGATCCAGATTTGCGTCCGATATGACGTAATATCTGAAATGTGGACCCACGGCCCTATCAGAAACGTTGCTATCAGAAACAATGCCCGACTGTTTTGGACGTAATGTGGTCGGTGTTTACATTAGCATCGCTAACACTCAGAGCTAACCTGTACTGGAGAGCATGTGTGTGAAGAAGCAGGAAATAAAAAGGAACTCACCTTGTGGTATAACCGGCAAGAGAGAAAGCCTTTGAGCTCCATACTGTTTCAGAAAGAATCCTTGATAATCCATGATATGGCGTTTCATCACGGCAGTATTTAGTTTAGACAGTAGCTGCCGGGTCCCGCATGAGCTCAGCCCCCTCCTTTTTTATTTTTGTAAAGCTTTATACCCAAAATCAGCACTTTTGAAACAGGAAGTGAAATAGAGGGATATGAGGCATGGCTAGAATGGGTGATCTGTTTTGTATTTTGAGCAAAACACTTCATAGACATGTTTTTTATATATTTTTATATATCTGAGACCTATGCTATTGCCTAAAAATAGCATGGTGACCTTTAAGAGTCTTTATTAAAAAGCATGTTATCTGTTTCTGAGTTGAGGGGGTTCACCTGATTTTTCCTAGTTGGAAAACTCTAATTCCAACACCACATGAATGCAGGAAATCCTGTATCAAGTAATGATAATAAAAGTGAAAGTCATCTTGTGTTTTTTCACGGTGAATCACATTCACTCCATATTTTTATGGATTATTCCTCGGGCATTTCTACACAAGTGTTTCATGAAAACCTGGCCTGTATTTTTTCTCTGCCAACACTAAAACAGATGGAAGATATGTAAATATAACCACCTTTAGAGGTAATTAACATCTCCTGTGATATTGTCAACAGGAAACAAAAACTATAAGCATCTTGGAAGCAGACTTGATCGTATCAGTGTATTGGATTTCAATCAAATGCAGTGTGGTGTAAGACACTGTATCTATTTTCAATATTGCTATTGAACTACACTCTCAAAGTAATCCCTTGAATGCTGTTTTCCACATCAAACATATCCCCATGCATGATTTACAGAGTAATCCGCCACCCTCCCACAGTGTCAGTCCGAGGTTAAAATTAGAAAAAGAAGTGTCTGAAGGTTGAGATCTCTGCACCCACCCAAGGCTTAATAAAACACAGAATATATTCATGAATTATGACTTCCTGCCTTCCTCTTATTACATATTTTATATTGCTTTGCAGAAAGGTGGGGAACACTTTACTGTATCTCGTCACTCAGTCATGTGAGCATCAATATTTCCTTCCCATCACTGAGCTCGACAGCAAGATGTTCCATCGGGTGTAAATCAATGTGAGAGTGAAGTGTAAAGGAGCTATATTTGGGGGGAATGGATTTTAAGTCGTGTTGATTTTCAATTCCGAACCGGAGGGTTAAAGGTGTGTTTGTGCTTGAAGCTTTGCGTGACTGTGGCAACTACTAAAATAAATCAAATCAATAAAGAGGCCCTATTGTGTTTTTTGGTAGTCCTGTAGTGTGTTCTAGAGGTTTTAGTGCATGTCAATGGTCTGCAAAGGCTAAAATCCCTGTGTTTCCTTTAGAGGAGGAACATCACTATGTAACACTTGTGCTTCTAGTGGCTAGCGCTTCAACACATTGTACGTGATAGGCTAAGGGGCGGGATATCTCTAAGCGGTTGACCAATCACAACAGAGCCGGCCAGCTAACCAATCAGAGCAGACTGGGCTCTGGTTTCAGACAGAG